CTCTGACAAAATACCAGATTGGGTGGTTTATAAACAAAACAAAACATTTATTTTTCAGAGTTCTGGAGGCTAAAAGTCTGAGATCAGGTGCCACCCTCTTCTGAGTTGTACTTTTGCTCTATCCTCACATGGTAGAAGGACTAGGGAGCTCTGTGGGTCCTCCTTAATGAAGACACGAATCTCCATCCTGAGGGTCCAGCCTCATGACCTAGTCACCTCCTATTAGGAGTACCCTCCTCCTAGTACCATCACCTTGGGGATTAGGATTTCAACATGTGAATTTGGGGTGGGGGGTGCAAACATTCAGACCATAGCGAGTCTCTTCCTGGTAAGTAGTAGGGAGCCAGAGAGGAGCTAAGATGGGGGTAATTTGGATCATTAGGAAACCTTCACAGTATTGTTCAATCAGAACACTTTAGTGGATTTTACTTTTGGTCCCCTAGCATCAGAATACTCTTTGGGCAGAATCCTAAAATAGATAGGAGGCAGGGTCACACATCCCACTGTAGAAACTAAAGAGGGCAGATAATCTTTTTCCCTGACCGCTGGGGCATCTGCAAATGTTCCTGCCAGGGGCTTTGAACCTTGAAGGAGCGACACAAAAATGGAGGCTCCTGAGAGATCACTTGCAGCAATGGCAGGGTGCAGTCCACAGTTTAGAGGTGACTTCTGTGGTTTGGGGGGGGTTCCTCTTCAGACGATACTGGAACACTGCCCAGTTTCCCCTCTCTCCTGCTCTTTTCCTGGACCTTATTCTTACGTTCTGTGATAGCCTTATATGAAATTGCTTTCTGCTTGCATTGGTCGGGGAAAATTTGTAGTCTGCAACCAAGAATTCCAGCTAGCACAAACATCCCCCAAATCTGCTATACTTATATTTCCATTAAAACTTTATCTTATTGCAAAAATTATCAACTGAAAGACTTAGAAAATATAAACAAAAAACACTGTAACCCCATCACTACAGAGCAACTTTGTAAAAAAATTTTGAAACATTTTCTGGTGCAGGGACGCCTGGGTGGCTCAGTTGGTTAAGCGTCTGCCTTCCACTCAGGTCATGATCCCTGATCGAGTCCCACTTCGGGCTCCCTGCTCATCGGGGAGCCTGCTTCTCCCTCTGCCTGCCGCTCCCCCTACTTGTGCGCTCTCTCGCTCTCTCTCTCTCTGACAAATAAATAAATAAATAAATTTTTTTTAAAAGAAACATTTTCTGGTGCATAGTCTCTCCAACTTTTTCCTGGGCATATGAATATATTGTTTCTTTAGCTGTTATAAAAAGTGCTACCACATTGCGATCAACATGCTTGTTATTTGCCTGCTATTCGGCCTTATCTGTAGCATTGCTTCTCAGTATGAACATAAACACAGACATGATGAGTTGGTCCAGCCTAGGGAAAAATATTTGTCACACTTACTCGTTTCCTTTGAGTAAATATATGTAGAAGTGAAGGCATATAAAATGATTTCAGGTACATCCTTGGGACAGAACTAATCCAGCAGAGGGAAGCCAGTGTTCCTCTCCTGGGTAAAAGTCTTCAGACACCTAACATGGCCCGCTTTGTTTGGTCATGTGCAAAGGAAGGCATCATTTTTATATTCAAGCTAGGATTCAGGATTTACAGAGAAAATTTAGGATATAGGTACACTCTCCCTCTCCCGAGGACCACTATTTCAACTAGAAATTCACTTAAAAACTACTAATTTCTCAGAATGCATGAAATTGATCTCTAATTCAAGAAGAGTTGTAGGATTTATATTTTAAAATCATTATTTACATGTACAAATCATAACTGCTGCCACAAAGTAAATAATCAGAGAGGGCAGTTTTGCTATGTATGCTTAAAATTAGAAATACTACTTGCAAATAGTAAATATATGAAAAGTTCTTAGAAAGTCTGTTCTCTACCTCTTATATCTTAATAGACTTTAGTACCTTTTTTTCAGAGGCAAACTTCAACAGCAGGTAGATTTAAAAAAGGAGTAGGTTCTAAATTAATTGCATTTCAGTATTTTCAGCCTAGCTTGCCTTTAGCCACAGTCTTGTTCTAATGGCTCCTCATTCCAGTATTTGCCTTGAAGGCATCTGTTTTCTTCTAGCTCTGGTTTTCTTCTTGGTGAACGGTAATCAAACTATCTCTTGTTGCTACCCCCGAATTAGCTTTAATATATTTAAGAATTGGACTCAAAAAATCTCCAGTGATTTTCAAACTAGTGCGCAGGTGATAGTTGTTGTTTTTTTCCCTTTTCAAAATAAACCATCTTTAAGGTGGTTTTAAGATTTTTACTATTAGTTTTAAAAATCACATAAAATGACTGCTTTCATGTAACAGTGCTTTTTCTCCATGTGCAACCCACTGAAAAGGTAACTTCAATAATTAAAAAAAATAAAACCACTCAATGCTTTATTAAGCAAACGAATTAATAGTTAACTTTTTAGATCCTGGACCTCAACATTCCTTTGCTATTCAAATCAAAATGCAGTAGTCTTCACATTTGTTACCATGGATTTCAAAAGAATAATCTACATTTCTAAAGCTATTTATATAGAAAGACAAAAGAGAACATAATTAAGCTGGAGTCTTTCCATAGCATTGTCTTTTGGGGTCCAGGCAGCAGAAGCATGATGTAGGTGAAAAAGTACTATGGCCAGGTTCCAATGTATGTGATTCAAGCTGAAGAACAAAAACTTGAACTGTGACTACATTAGCTCAGCTCAAAAAGTGAATGCTAACCAGAGGGTCTCCATCTTTGGAGACCAAACAAGGGCAAAGAGCTTAAATGGTAGCAGCATCACTGGGGGCTATTTATAAAACAGTACTTTGCAACACATATCAAGAAGCTAAGACACCCATTGCTCATACCTCTTAGAGAACAAAAGAGGATGCTCATTTGTCTGGAATGGTTCTTGAAGGAAAATGTTCTGGAAGGCAGGAAGAGAACTTTCCTTACTTGAAGGCCATCTTTCTCCCGATGGGCTCAAGCCTGTGAATTGTATCTCATTTATTCTTCTCAGTGTGAATCCAGTCCAGCTCTAGAAGTTACAGACTGCAAATACTTTTATAACCTAACTCCCATTATCAAATGGGCTTCTTTTCTTACTCTATCTTCTGATACTCAGAACCATTCAGAGCATTTATTTACTACTATAATATGCAATGAAATGGAATTTAAGAAACAACTCTGTGAAATAAGGAATATAAGAGCAATTTGGTCTTTTTTTTTTAAACGTTTGGTCCAGTAGCATGGGGCAAAGCTTTAGCTGAGTTAAATTCCCACTTCCTTTTGATAAGAAAAAGTCAAAATAAATGAGCATTTCTTAGAAATAAACTACAAACAAATCTATTTGTAAAAGTAAGAGGAAATCTGTTCTTTTAAAGCATTTTGGAAAGATGGAAAGTTAAGTATTCAATTGGTTATATATACTTTTTGGATATTTCAACTTCTGTAAGATTGGAATCTAGTGAAGCCTTCTTTCAATTTTCTAACACCATATACAAAATCTGTTATCAAAATGTATAAAAGATGCTTCTAAAAACAACTGTTAAGTTTACTGTTTTTGACTTAGTGATCAAGCCATAATTTTTTCAATTCCAACTTTAATTTGTTCCTGTACACTCTCTTTAACGGGGCTTTGGGCTTTCAAGTCATCCTCTTCAATCTTTGTATGATAAGGTGAGCTACTTGCTTCTGTTTAGCAGAGCTGGATCAGGAACATCTCTGCATTTGATTGGCTGGCTTTTAAAGGATTACTCCTCTGGAAAGCCACTGTTCGGTATCACATTGCTAGCAGTGTGGACTTAATTGTGGTTAAAAATTCAAATTGAAGACGAGTATTTACCATCAAAGAGAATGTAAACTTCAGTACTCCGTTGTTACATAGCTTCTATACATCATATTGACCTAATGTGTGTGTGATGAAGAGCTCTGTTTCAAAACAACCTTAAATGCTATATCCAGAAATAACAACTGACTCCGGCAAAGAGAGGTAATTTGGGGTCCCTGTATGTTCTTTAACAAAGCCAATACAATTTAAAAATAAATGAATTCCAACTACACAAATTGAGTTCAGTAAGATGAACAAAACTGAGGAAGACAAATGTCAGCTAAGTCAACAAGTCAAATACATTATAGTATTTATACCCAGATGAAATAAAACAATGACTTTCCATTTTTATTTTGCCTTTCCCAGTTACTCAGAGTAAACATTATCACTTTTCAAATTCCACTGATCGTTTTATCTGAAAGAAAAATTTACTGAGTAAAATGCTTAGCTGTAGGATTTTATATTTACAATCCATCAGGTTACAATAAAGTTACTAGTTTCTTCCCCAGTGTGAGCATTCTGTATGTGCGTTTTATTTACATTCTGTCACTTTCTATTTCCTCCTAAACTTTATATGCTCAAGAAAGAAACTGTATTGATGTTATGTAACAATACTTCAAATTTGCAACACACCTACTGGTTTCTCTCTCCCTTGAACCCATGTGCCTGAAAAATAAACACAATGTATCCCCCCAAAACACCACCTTGGAGTGTGTAAGGACGAGTATAGACCTGTAGAAGTGTAAGCACTGAAAAACAGTTGTGTGGAAGGGTAAAGATGTATCTGTCCTTGTTGACAACAATCCCCACGATTTATTAGCCACAGGCACCCAACTTAGTAAATGACAAGGTCCAAGGCCTGGCCATAAGAAGTGGGTAACCCAGTGGAAGGGAAGGCTTTTAGGTCTTACAACTAATGTGATTCAAAAAAAGAAAAAAAAAAAAAAAACCAAAGCAAGCAAACCGTAAAACCTGGAGAAAGTCCTCCAAATAGAGCCTCTTTGGCAACTCAAAATGAACCAAATGATTCAGGTGGGCGATTAGAATAAACTGTGCGCCGTTTTCTTTCACTAGGTCTACAAAGCCCATAAATTATGTTTGGTCCAGAACACCAGGAGTTATTAGCACCTTCCTTTTTCACTTTTTAATATTCAATATATTCAGCAACAATCCTTAATCCATGGTCTTCATTCATTTATTGACTGAACAAGATCCTGGGTGCCTCCTGGTGATCGCTCCTTCCAGGCTGACCTTATATGACAGCAAACTGAAATGCCCCTCCGTGGAGAGGGTCAAGACCGCGAGGAAAGTCATCCAAAGGTGGACGCATCTTGCTTTCATTTACTTGTTTATTAGAGGGGCGGCGATGGCCGCGGCTGGACGAGGACGAGGCGAAGGGGCGCGCGGGCCGTGAGCCGCAGCCCCGGGGTGGGTACCCGCGGAGGAAGAGGAAGGCAGCAGCCACGCTCTACCAGCTCGGCCCGCCGGACCCAGAAAGTGACCAGCCCCTCCCCCCACTGCACCCTTGACCCCTCCCCCTCTTTCCAGGCCTTTCATCCGCCCGCTCGGCCGCCGGGCAGCCCCGGGGCCCCCAGATCTCGCGCCGCCCGCCTCTTTAGCCAACCCGGTCCAGCGACGCGGACAGGCCCAGGACGGCCCTGCGAAGCCCTCGGCCGGGCGAGGACCCCGACCCCGACCCCTCCGGCCGCGCCCCTCCCCCTCGAGTAACGCACCTGCGGCCCCGCCCCCGGCCAAACGCTGAGGCGGCGGCAGGCTGGCGAGGCCGAGCGGCTCGGCCCTCCAGGCGCAGTCACCTTCCCTTCCCCCGCCATTCTGCCCACCCCCCTAGCTCAGCCACCAAGCAGCCGCCGCGATCTTCAGCCGCCCCGAAATCTAAAGGGGTCCGTCTCCGGCACCACAACCAAATGGCTGAGCCTCCCTGGCCGGCTGCGCAGCCCGCCCATTGGTCCCTTCCCCCCCCGCCGCCGCCACCATTGGCTGTTGCCCGGACACCCTCGGCAGCGATTGGCTCCAGCTGTTGCCGCTCATCCGCCGAACCGCAGGTCCCGCCTCCACCGTGATCAGGTTAGTGTGCGCCGCGGGTGCTGGGGGCTCGAGAACCGAGCGGAGCTGGTTGAGCCTTCAAAGTCCTAAAACGCGCGGCCGTGGGTTCGGGGTTTATTGATTGAATTCCGCCGGCGCGGGAGCCTCTGCAGAGAGAGAGCGCGAGAGATGGACATGGACAAACGGATTCATTTAGAGCTGCGGAACAGGACGCCCTCTGATGTGAGCATTTGCCAAAAATATCTCTGTCGGTCCATTCTCCTACTTTGTGTGTGTGTGTGCGTTGGGGGGAGGCACTTTTTTTTGAGGGGGGGCGCCCGGGAGGTGTGGGTTTGGGGGTCGGACTGCAAATGAATTGCAAGGTTGGGGGGTTGCAATGCCATCCGAGCATGTTCCGGCTGCCGCCGCCGCTGCCCTTGGTGTGTGACTACCTGTGCGTGTGCTCCCGCGTGTGCGAGTGTGGGTGCGAGAGTGTGCGTGCGAGTGTGCACCCACCGGGGGCCAGCGGGCGCACGCGTTTGGGTCGGAGAGAATGAGGCAAAATAACCCTCTGAGCTCGCTGCTCCCTTGACTCCGTCTGGGGGGAAGATTAACGAGGGAGGAGGAGGAGGGGGGCTGCCTCCTGGATTTAACAACAAAAAAAAGGGGGTTTTATATTTTATAAATGAATCCCCCCTTCCGCCCCCCTCCCGCGCCTTCCCCCTCCCTTTCTCTCTCTCTCTCTCTCTCTCTCTCTCGCTCGCACACACACAATAAGTTTTGGGCTTCGCGAGTCCGGTTTAGTTTCTGATAAATGTGGGCCGAGGCCCCCGGGGAGAGCGCGTGGGGAGGGGGCTGCAGTGGAGTTGGGAATGGCTCGAGTTTAAAGTGCGTCTTCATTTCTTTGCAGTGATGAGGCGAGAGACGGGGGAGCCATATTTGTAACTTTGTAGTGTTCGTGAACGCGCCCTTTCTCTCCCTCCCTCCCTTTCTCTGACTCCCTTCCTCTCCTCCTCTTTCTCCCTCACTCTTTCCACCCCACCTTCGGGCCAGATGCTGATGTTTCTTCCTTTCCTTCCGAAGGGAGGATAAATTGGAAGGGGGGAGGGATTTTCGAACGTGCAAAGGCACAGATAATCCCCGCGCCTCCCCACCTCGAGCGATCGCTATTGCAAGTTACCCGAAGGCTACGTCCCGGTCCCCCCTCGCCCCTGCTCCTTCCGGCCTCGCTAAGATGCCAGCCTTTGAGCCCTCGCGCCCCCCCGGCCAGTCTTTCTCCGGGGTGGGCTCCTCGGCAGCCATTCGGCGCCTGGTTAATACACGGGCACGGGAAACTTTGTCAGGACGGAGCTGCCCAGACCTGGTGCCCGTGGTGGGTATTGGCTGGGTCCAGATTTATGCGGGCATAGGAAACACGCAGCTCCGGGATGGGAGTTTGCCTTCTGGTCGCCGTTATTGATTGGGCAGCGGCGGGAGTACGGCCGGAGGAAACTTACACGGATGGGAACCGGGAGGCTCGGGCGAAAGCCCACCCCCAAGGAGGGGGACGGTGAGGGTGGGTTACTCGAACGCTCGTTTGTATTTCCGTCTCCCTCTCGCTTTCAAACAGTGTTTTATGTGAGTTGGCGGCTCAGCGGAGGAGACCCCGGCTCTGGGGCGGAGACCCTGGCCGACTCCTCTCCCGACCCCTCCCGAGACCAGGGCGGCGCGGGCGGGAGGACCCTTCCTCCAGCCTCGGTGGCCACGGTTCCACAGAGTTGGGAGTTTGGGGAGCACTGTGCGCTGACCTGTCGCCCCTCCAGCCCGTTAAAACCCGAATCCCTGGCGGAGGCAGGCCTTGCTTCCTCTTTTTCTCTAGTTCCTCCCCCAAACCTGAGTGAGACTTTTGAAAACAAGATCCTTTTTGTGCCCCCCCATCATAACGCAGCTGTGGACTGTAGACGTGCAGTGCCTTATGGCGCGCAGGGCGGGGAGGGGGTGGCGGAGGGAGGGGAGGGGGTGCCCGCCGAGAAGGCAGGAGTTTCCGCGAACAATCTGCCGGCGGTTTGTCTTTCTCTGGCCGGTTTCATCCCGGCTTAGACCCCGAGCCGGAGGATTTGGGGGCTGGGTGTGGTGATGGGGGAGGGGGCCGGAGCCGCGGTCTTCCCGCGTACTTTCCGGAAGCCCCCCGTGCGGAGGGGGAAGGGCGCACTGTAGGGGGCCGGGGTCGTGGCGGGTGGGTGTGGAGGCGCGGTTCGCCCGGCCAACCCCAGCTACACGGCTGGCCAACTGGGAGCGAGATCGAAAGCGGGTCGAACCGGCTCTTTAAACTTCCCCGAGTATGTGCTGGGGGAGGGGAGCGCGCCGCGCCGAACTGGGAGCGATTTCTCACGCTTCGCCCCCTCGCCTCCGAGTCTCCCAGCCCACTCGCCTGCCCCCTGCTTCGAGGCGGGGTGGGGCGCGGGAGGGGATGGAGGGGGCACTTTCGGCACATTTGGGGAGGAGGGGGAGAAAGAAAGCTAGCTAATGAGGGACAAAAGGGGTGGGGGAGGAGGAACTATTTTTTTTAACCGTTCTTAAGACAAATAGCTCTCGGAGAGCGCCCCCTGCGCCCCTCCCCGCCGCGCTCCCCCCCGGGGCCCCCTCACACCCACCTTCGGAGCCTCTCCCAACTCGGATCCGGGGGCTGGTGGCCACGCCGCGACGCCGAAATAGGACGAGCAGCCATGTTTCCCGGGTCTCGCGCGGCCCGCCCCGCCCCTCCCCCATGGCGCGGCCGGCG